AGAGATTCTGCAGTCAAAGCACTCCTCCTGTCTGCTCGGTGTTTGATCATTCCTTCCTAAGCTTCTGTCCCTGCGGCCAAATGAATAATCCACAAAACTAGCAGCTAATGCAACTTTCATTCAGACACATCTTCAAAGAGACCTCAAGCTCTCCCTCTCTCTTTTTTATTTAACACACACACACACACTCTTTCCCAGCATCCTCTCTCTAACAGTAACCATACAAACACATGCTCATCTCTCCATCTCCTCTAACTCCCTGTCTTGTGTCTCTGATTTTAACATTCCTCTCTGCACATTTACATGCATACAAATATGTTTGTTAGCGGCGATAACCCGATTAATGTATTAAGGGGGTGTGATTAAGGGTTTGCAGTGGCCCTGACTTCCACAGCAACAGTCACCTGAATGTACGTGGATGGCTTAATAATAACTTGCTAGAGCCGCCAAGTTAGAAGAGGAATATTAGGTCCATAAAAAGAGAGTTGTGTTCCTTGAGGTTTGACAAATATAGCGTGATATTGCTCTGCAGCATTCCTTTCCCACGAACACAGTGTGAAAATGAGATTCTCTAGATGTGAAAGTGAAACGCAATGTACAATCTGCCTTTTGTCGGGCTGTACACTCACATGAACTTAAGCTTAAGTTCACATCAATTTGCATTTTTGAGCAGCAGTTGGCAGTGATTAAACTCATGTAACTCAAGACATGTAGAATACTTACATGGAAAAAATAATTATGGATTGAACCGGGGGTCTTTTTTTCAGGCCAAGGACACATTAGCCCCTACTAAATATACTGTATAATATAAATATACTGTATAATTACTGTATATTACTTCAAAAGATAAAAATAAAAATACATATGTGCTTTTTAGGACGCAATCGTAGTCAGGCATGGCTTTAAAATATGTCCCCTCCTTCTTTCATTCTCCTTTGTTCCTCCCTTCCTTCTGGCAGTCTTCCTTTGTTGTTGGTGTTCTTTCCTTCCTTTCATTGCCCTGTCCTTTTTCCTTTAATTATCCCACTTTTCTTTCTTCCTTTCTCCTTTCCTTCCTGTCTCTCCTTTATTCCTTTCTCCTTTACTTTCTTCCCTTATTCTTCCTTTTCTTGTTTTATTTCTCCTTTCATTGGCCCTTCCTTCCTTTCTTCTTTCCTCCTTTCTCCTTTCATTGTCTCTCCCATCCCGTCAGGAAGGGAAAGAAGGATCAGTGGAAAGATGAAGGAAGACAACCTTCCTCTTTTCACTGACCCTTCCTCCCTTTCCTCCTTCTTCCTTAAATTGTCTCTTCCTTTCCTTCTCCTTCCATTGCTCCTTCCCTTATTCTTCCTTTGTTGTTTTCTTTCTCCTCTCCTCCCTTCCTTTCATTGTACCTCCCTAGTAGATTTCCACCCTTCTTCCTTAGAATATTTCTTCCCTTCCTTCCTTCCTTCCTTCCTTCCTTCCTTTCTCCTACTTTTATTGCACCATTTCTTTCTTTCTTTCTTTCTTTCTTTCTTTCTTATACCATTCATAGTGTCACTTGCCTGCCAGTCTGGAGTAAAAAGGAAGAAAGAGGAGATGGAGACGGAAGACGGAAGAAGAAAGAAAAGATGCGACTGAGATGCGAGAGAAGGAAAAGTAACAGATGACTGATGAATGAATGTGAAATGAAAGACAGACGAATTTGCCTGTGCGTAGGAGGAAGTTGCATAGAGATGGACAGAGGAGGAGAGAGGAGATGAAAGAGTGTGAGCAGGGGAGGCGGAGGAGGAGTGGGAGAGGAAGAGAGGAGGGGGAGGAAGAGGAGCATAAGAGAGAGGACTGCTGAGCTTTTCCTTTTTCGTCCCCCGTCTCTGCTGCTCTATCTGACGCTCTCTGTCTGAGCCCGCCGTGCTGCAGAATGACTATGCAGTATCAGCACGGGGAGAGAGAGAGAGGGAGGAAGGGGAGAGACAGAAAGGGGGAGAAATAGACAGAAAGAGTAGGAGAGAAGGCAAGACATAAGCAGGAAGAAGAGGGAAAACAGGGAGGGAATGAAACAGAAGCAGGAGGAAGAAAGGGAGACAGTGAAATGGGGGAGGAGGCTAAGAGGGGGGGGGAGAGAAAGGGAGAAAAAAGTGCACAGGAAGGAGGGAGAGAAGAAGAGGGTGTTACAGAAAGTGACAAACGGTTTGGGAAATAAAAAGAAGGAGAGGGAGGAATGGTGGGACGGAGAGAAAAGAGAAAGGAAAGAGAGGAAGAAAAAAGGAAGGACATAGAAGGGAGAAAGGGGAAGGAAGAGAAAGATCAGATGAGAGAAAAAGAGGAAAAAAGAAAGGATAACTAAAGACAAAGTAACACAGAAAAGAGAACTACATTGTAGGTTTCTCACATTTGAACCTCTGGGGCCACTGTAGTTACATCTGACCGTGTGTGTGTGTGTGTGTATCAATTACTGCATTTAGAAGAACTGACCTTCAGTGTTAAGTAAAAAGCTTAATGATGGAGATAATGATTCAGACTCCACTCTAATAACACAACAAAACAACAACACAACACACACAACACACACACACACACACACACTGTGTAATAGCCTTTTAGAAATCTATGAGTGTGTTTATTCGTTCTTTCTGTTCACTAAACACACTCAGATGGTACGTAAACACACGCATAGAAACACACAGATTTGGAGATAGTGACATAAGGATAAAGCAGAGACTTCAAACAAGGGAACAGGTTGTTTACACACACACACACACACACACACACACACACAGAATAATGTCACAGTTGCA